AGGTAGAGATCCAAACTTTCTACAGGGTGTGACAGTACCCAGAATAGATAAATATAACTCTTTCCATTTGGAAAAGATGAGGCTAACCAGCTCTGTGGGGATGGAGCTCCTTCTCAGAATCCAAATCCAAAACACCTGCTAAGTGAGTAAGTGTTGTTCTCAGTCCCACCCAAAAGTTGGTAAAACTAAAATTGGTCTTTCTCACCCTGAGCAGCACACGTGCTCAGTCATGGAGTAAGACAGATGTGTCAACAGACACTTCCGTAATACAGCATGGTAAATAAAATACCAAGGCAGGGCCACACAGGTCCCTGAATCATTACAAGAACTAGCCTTTGTGCTGGGAAAAGAGTGACAAAGCACTTGGGATGATGGCAGGATGTGGTGCTTTGAACAGAATTGTGTAATGGAGGAAATGAGGTTGGCACCTCGGCCTTGAGACAGAGTACTTGCCTCCCTGGGTATAGGGACTTAGATCTGGGGTCTGGGTACACTTGGAGTCAAATGGAGGCTCCCAGACATCCTGTGTTTGTAAGATGCTGAGATAAAGGGTAGAGAGTGACGGACTTCGAGAAGATGCCTACTTGTCCCATCTCTCCACCTGAGCCAGGGCAATAACATTTTAAAGTGTGAGGCCAGACAGGCATGGTGGCCTACACCTGTAATCCCAACACTGGAAGCTGTGTCAGGAGGACTGCAAGTTCCAGCCCAGCCCGGGCAATTTAATAACAGTGAGATCCCGGCTCAAAGTAAAAGACTAAAAAAAAGGGTTGAAGAGCTGGATATGGTGGCATATGCCTGTATTCTCAGTGCACAGGGGGCTGAGGCAGTGAGTTTGAGGCCAACCTGGGCAACACTGTGAGTTCAAGGCCAGCCTGAACTACATACAGAGACCCTGTGTCAAAACTCCCCCCGGACCCCCGAAAAAAAAGGTGGGAACTTAGCTCTGTGTGAAGGTCTTGGGTTCAATTCCCAGTACTGAGGGGAAAAACAATAAGGGAGGGGCGCCTCCAAACGCATCTTCTCTGTGGAGCAAAGTGAAAACACGACCTGAGTTGCATCATGGGATGAAAGTGTTTTCTGGTGCCTTTCTCTGGGGCTCACTGGTCCTCCACCTCTGAGCTCACTGGGACCTGGCTGACAGAACAGAATATATCATCCCTGGGGAAATGAATTTCCAGGCCAGAATAACAAGATATTCCAAGGGCATCAACATTTACCAAACAGTAACTATATGGGTGGGCAGAGTTGTACGTGCCTCTATCCCATCAATCTGGGAGGCTGAGACAGGACCAAAAATGTGAGCCCAGCCTGAACAATTCAGTCACAGTCTCAAAATAAAATAGATAAAGGGCTTCAGTGTAAGAGCCTGACTGAACCAGAGCGACTCCATGTTGACCAGCAAATGACCTAGAGACTGTCGCTCCCCCCATCCCTTATAGGATAACTAATGATTAATTGTGAATTGTTAGGTAATTGTTTTGAAGTAGCTGGAAGGCTGGATGGAGACTATAGTGAACACAGAGACTCAACATGGATTGTGTCACTCTTTGCATGCCTGTAGTCTAAATGTTCTGAACATTATAATCTAAGTTGTAAATGGAACAGCGGATGAGCAATCTGCTAATCATTAATACATGACGGTCAAGTATGTGCCTGATAACCACTAGGTCAGAACAACTGATTCTTTGCCTTTGTCCTCTTCCCGTAAGTTTTATATGTAACCCCCCCCTCAGCCCTATATAAAGTGGCCTCTGTTTCTGAACTAGCCGCCTCCCTGAGCCACTTGGCTTGGGGAGTGCCGTCTGGCCAGACTAATAAAGGTCTATTAGCCAACTTGCCTGGTGTGTTCCTTCCTGGGTGACTCTCGCTATCGGACAAGCTCCTGGAGCCTCGCTGAGCTACTGAGCCTAGCATCGTGAAGGCCTCTTGGCTGTTCACGCTCCAGGAGTAAAAGTGAGACAAAGTCTTACATCAGCTCGGTGTGAAGGTCCTCAATTCAGTCCTCAGTACTGCCCCCCCCACATCCCAAAACAACAACATAATCCTAAACTGTGTTATCTTTAGGAGAAGCATTTTAAATTGGCCTAGTAAACATACTAGCAGACAAAAAGAAAGGGCAGCAGGGCATGGTGGCACATGCCTGTGATCCCAGCACTTGGGAGGAGAAGGCAGGTGGATCACCAAGTTCAATACCAGCCTGGGGAACTTAATGAGACTGTGTCTCAATAAAAAGTT